TTATATAGGTAGAACTAAAACATATGTCAAATATATAATATCTATACAATATTTAGAATTTATAATTTCATAAAGGCATTAACTTTTATCAAAAGAAGAGACATGAAAGATTAGATTTCAAAAGACAAATCCAATATATATGTTAATATCTAGTGTCTATTCAATATTTATAAAGTATTATACAAAAAATACAATTCTATTTAATATTTAGAAAGGCATTATATAAAAAGTATAGTCTTATTCAATATTAAAATTTAAAACGTAAATTTAAAATATGTTAAACAAATACAAGAAGAAATTGGATCGATATTGGTTTTTATTAACTAGGAACAAATTAGTAATTAAAAACAAATTAGCAACTAAGATCAAATCTTAATGTTTTTTTTGTTCTTGTCATTGTACTTCTAATGATGATGAGAGTTCCTCAACCACTAGCTTTTGACATTTAGTAGGCATTCTTGCTTTCTATTTTAAAAAAAAAAAATTTGATAATGTCATATAACACAACTCACTATATGTCACATAATTTGATTTTTTATGCAAGTACAATCAAAGAGAATGATTAAAGAGCTTGAGATGAAGAAGGGGAGAGCAAAAGTGGAGAAGAGGAAAAGTTGAGAGAAAGAGAAACCGAAAGTAGGTTAGAGTTTGGATATTTTATTCATTTATGCTTCTAAGATTAGGAAATTTAAATTTTAAAATTATTTTTTAATAATCTAATAAAAAATAAATTTTAAAAAAGTTTGGGTCATTTCGAAGGTTATATCCCCAATTCAGTCCCTCAACTTTCATTTTTGAACTAAAACTACCCTCGAACTTCAAAAAGTACTAAAAAAATCATTGAACTTCAATTTTCGAGACCAATTTCGTCCTTCTGTCGACGAAAGTGCCAGATGGCACATTAAGTTGCCACGAAATCAATTTTTGTTTGAAATCTTTAATTACGTGGAAAATAACTTAGTCCACGTCATTTTAATTAATTTATATATTAAAAAATTTAAAATTCCTTAAATACCC